CAAGAGAAAACTTGCTGAGTACAGATTAGGGCTGTGCAATTAATCGTTTTTTAATCGCAATTACGATTTTGGCCTGCCACAATTACAAAAACAACATAATCGAAAAAAAAACGATTATTTTGCTTTGCTAGGTTGTGACAGTGCACTGCAACATATTTGATCTAATTTATTTTATAGTCTAATTTATTTATCATATTTATATATGTTTAGTAGCTTGTTGAAGTGCGCTCCAAAATATTTGTTGATCTTTTTTATTATTTTATTATATTTATTATTTTGATATTATTTATGTAAATGTAAAAATAAATGTATCATTTATTTTTGTATTGGTTTTTCAGTTGAATGATACAGTACGTTCAGGGTAATCAACAGTTAAACAGATACTGTTCAAATTATTATTTGTTTTAAAGTTCAATAAATTGAAGTTTTCAAAGTCAATGAATAATCGTATTTAATAATCGTGATATCAATTATTGACCAAAATAATCGTGATTATGATTTTTGCCATAATCGCACAGCCCTAGTACAGATCCTCGCAAGAGATGATGCGAAAAGCCTTCACAACATCAGCCAAAGCACTGGCGGTGTCACTGCTCATCGCTAAAGCCAAACAGCCGTACACGATCGCTGAGGACCTGTTACTCCTAAATAGTGTCAGTGCCGTGTTATTACATTGTTTGTTTAGAATTGCACATTTTTTTCAGTTACAACGGATTTAGTTTTTTAACCCTTTCATGCATTGTGGTCACTACATTAGAGACTGCTAATTGAATGCTGTTTTCTTAATATGCATGGGGGCACCACAGTGGATTTTATTATAATATTTGTGTATTGTATTTGATAGTTTTTGATTAATATATCATTTTGTTCATTGGTTTGTTAAACATATATTAGGCCTACTTAAAAATCTGTTTTAAAAAAATGTCTCATGCATAAAGATGAAAATATCCTTAGTTTGTTGTAATTCGTGCATGAAGGAGTTAATAAATCACACACTGACGGTACGTCCACACAGCAGCGTTAAAAAAATCTTCCAACGCTTCTGCCCATTCACTTTGAATGGGGTGACGTCACTTTGCCTCACTTTTCTCCGAACTGCATTATGGGAAGCAGAGCGGAGCTTTGGTGGCGTTTCAGGCTGCAAAAGTTGAGCAATGTTCAACTTTTGAAGCTTCTGAAGCTTCGGTGGAAGCGTCAGCCAATCAAATCCCGTTTATGCAGCCAATCACACCGCGTGTATGCTGGGAGAGACCAGAGGTGGGAGTAAGTCCTACATGTGCAAGTCATGTGCAAGTCTCAAGTCTTGACCTACAAGTATCAAGCAAGTCCCAAGTCACTGTGGTGAGAGTCAAGCAAGTCAAGTCAAGTCATTGCTCAGGTCAAGTCATTGCTCAGGTCAAGTCAAGTCATTGCTCAGGTCAAGCAAGTCAAGTCATACGAAATTCTGATGAATAAGCCCAGTTTCCGCATGTAAATCAGTTAAAAGACAGTGGTTATGAAAATGGATTCAACCCACACTATGATCTTCATTACATACACAGTTAATCATTTGAAATCTAATTCGATGACAATCATATTAGATTCATATTAACCCTAGAACTGCAGACAATATAGCTCGGACTCAGTCAAAAAGTCTGTTCAAAAAGGCAGAATTCCAGGTAAGAAAATCGTATATGGCATTTGCCATTACACATATTTAATTTAAATGTCTGTTAACACTAGAACCGCCAACAGCGTCAGCACCTACATAGATATCATTTTCAAATCATTTAATTTGTTCCTCTTCATAATTTCCTTATAAACTAAGTAGGACGATTTAAAACTCAGTTAATTGGGTTAATTTAGAAATTGCTTCAGTTTATCATCCTAATGCTGCGTTCACACCGGACGCGATGCGACTATTCGCTTCGCTCTAATCGCTGCTATCGCATCGGTCTAAACGCTGGAGTTTCACCGCGGCTGCCAGCTGTGTTTACTCGCATCATTCAAACAAGACGCGCTGGCTCGGGAGCTACAACTACAACAAATGAACATATTTTACCGTGATTCAATTGTAATACACGTTTCTAAATGATGCCGAAGTAACAACATACTGATACCGGTTAGTAACAACCATGAATTAATGCTTTGACAAGTCTGCAGACAAGACGGCAGGCAAAACACCTTTTAAAATGCTTGTTTTCTGAATGAAGATCGGGTCGACCAGGCTAAGCTAACGTTGTATATGCTCATTCCACACTCATAACAACGGCCTACAGACATAAATAAAGCAGCGACTGTATTCGCCATGACACAGACAGTCTGTGGTTTGTACTTGTTTAACTTTTGTCCAGTTTCTGAACAGATATGAGGAGCTGTGAGCTCTGTGTGCTAACTGCTAACAGCTAACGGCTGATGTTGTGTGGTTGAACGTCAGTGACGGCGGCTGAGATCCTCACCGCTGATTGGCTTCCGCGAAAACGCGTCACGTGAATTTGACGCTCGAGTTGAAAAAATTGAACTCGCGTTTAACACGGCACCGTTCAATCGCGTTATTCGCGCCGCATCCACCGCTTCATGCGCGCCGTCGGAGCGAATTCGTGTCTGTCCGCGTCTCTGCATTGACTTTACATGTAATCGCTCCGCCCCAAACATCGCATCGCGTCCAGTGTGAACGCAGCATAACAGATCAAAAAGTTCAGATTCATTTTTACAATAAATCAAGGAATGATGCACTTCTACAAACAAAAACAACATAATTAAAACATTTAAACAAACTACTAAAAGTAGATGAACTACATTATTCAAAAGTTTACAGTAACTTCTGATAATAACACAGGGGAAATAAACGAGGCATCTCTTTTCCTCTCTCTCTCTCCCTCTCCTGTCAGCCCGTCAGTATCAGGGTTAGTCAAAATGAATCCCTTGGCGGTTCTAGTGTTAATTGACCGTTTTGTCTTCTCTTTGCAATGCTTCATCGATTTGAAACCAAGTCTAACGTAGCTTAAACTTAACGTTAGCTTTCTAGCTAACACAACACATTCACGCACCTTTCTCTGTGGGGTTATTTGTAGTGACGAATGAAGTTGGATGTTGTGGTGGTCGTGTCACTGATCTTTATGCTGCAGACTCTGCATACCGCTGTTCTCTTCTTATTAGCGTCATCGACAACATAATCCTTGAATCCAAACTTCACTATTTTTGGAGTAACGCTAGCCGCTGCCATGTTAACTGACACTCCTGCCGTCTAGTGGGTTGCCAGGTTTGCGCACACGGTGCTATAATCACCCAATCACGTTTAATTGTAATTTAATTTAATCGAGTCTGACTCGAGTCAAGTCATGTGACTCGAGTCCCCACCTCTGGGAGAGACACACTGCAGGTCATTTCCTCATATTCCAAAAAATGGAGCAAGCTTCAACGCACGCCGCTGTGTGGACGGGCCGTGATGGAACATCACTATATTGTAATTATTTATATAGGGTTTTTCTATCAAAAATGTTTGGGGTCGGTCAGGGGGTACTTGGCTGAGAAAATGTTTCAAAGGGGGTACATTACTGAAAAAAGTTTGAGAAGCACTGCCTTATGGCGCGTTTCCACTACAGCGCGGAGCACGGTTTAAGAGGGCTGTGACGTCAGCGGCCCGTTTTTGGTTGCGTTTCCACTTGGCCTAGTACCGGCCGGCGGGTCCTAATTCACAGTTTTTCTGGCCTCATAAAATCGTGGGTCTAGGGCCAGAGACAACGAGGCTGAGTCGGGCTGAGTATGCTAAACTAGAGAGAGAATCGCTGGCAAGGGGGCTACAACTACAACAAGATGGACATATTTGACCGTGATTTAATTGTAATACACGTTTCAAAATGATGCCGAAGTAACAACATACTGATACCGGTTAGTAAAAACCATGAATTAATGCTTTGACAAGTCTGCAGACAGACGGCAGGGGAAAAACCTTTTAAAATTCGTGTTTTTCTAGATGGAGATTGGCTAAGCTAACGCAGTATATGCCCCGACCGTCCACACTCACAACAACGGCCTATACAGACATAAATAAAGCAGCGACTGTATTCACCATGACACAGGCAGTCTGTGGTTTGTACTTGTTTAACTTTTGTCTAGTTTCTGAACAGATATGAGGAGTTGTGAGCTCTGAGTGCTAACAGCTAACGGCTGTGTTGTTTTTCTGGGGTTCTCATTGAAGATGACGTCACGGCTCCGCCTACACTGCGTTACTATAGATACTGCCCCAGTTCCTAAACTGTAATGGAAATGCGCCATAAAGTGAGCCAGTCCTAACGAGGCCTAGCCATACCGAGCGAGGCCGAGCGAGGCCGTGTAGTGGAAACGCGCCATTAGAGGCCTCCTCTAAAGTCCCTACTTTATCTGTTGACCCGATGTTCACCAGGAAGAAACTCTCAAGATCCTCTGCCATTAAACTATTCAATTCTGTGTCCTGAAGCAAGGACACATTCATCCTCCATCTGCTGTTCTTAACCCCATCTGGCTCCATTACTAAGCATAGTTGAACTGCAGCATGATCAGTCAATGCTATACTATAGGTCCTATCGAGCAGTCTGAAATGCTCTCCACCAAATCTTTGCTGATCAGAAAGTAATCTATCCTTGAGTGAGATTTATGGTTGTTAGAATAGAATGTATACTCTCTCTCTCTCGGGTTGACAAGCCTCCAAATATCTGTCAGTCCAAGGTCCTTCCCCAAAAGCTCGATATTTATATCTTTTAACATTGCTGACATCTTTTTTGACTACTTATATTAGACGCACAAACCTGTAAATGTGAGCATACATACAGCAAAAACCATGGTATGAACGGAAACCACCTGAGCTATCTAGTATATCATTAATAAAACAATTAGATCTCTCTGAAGTGTTTCCCATAAAAGGGGCTGCCCATGTAATAATCTACCTCTTAGAGCCCACGCTGGAAGATGAACAGGTGGAAGCAGCATATGAAACATAATAGTAGGACTTACTGTTCTTTTCTTTCATCCATGTTCTCCAGCTGGACCACTACCCAGTGTCCACACACTTCCTGCCCGAGGCCTCCGACACCAACTTCAACCTGCTCAAGAGTATCTTTCTTGGAAAAGTATTTGGTAAGTGTGAAGATGAGAAAATGTGAGTGTGGATCCTGTTCAGACAGCACTGAAATCTACTGGGGTCATGCATTAGGAGTTTCAGCATCTTGAAGCAATATCAACAATAAGCTTCAAAATGATCATTTGTAAATCAATTACTTACCCTTGAATTCTTGAATATGAATATGAGAATATGCTTATTTTGAGTGTTGATTAATTCAATTAAATAAAGGTTTGACAAAAGCGAACATATGTCCAAATATCTGTTCACACACGTAACTCGTGCTGTAAACTTCATTCAAACTCATATTTCCCAAACACGTATATTTTTAGAAGAACAAAGCTCTCAGTGCCTTCATTATAGATGAGAAAGGGGGGAGACAGAGTTGATGTCAAAGATCTTCCCAGTGCCGGCAACTTTCCAGGTGAGGGACACTGGATGCTGACAGGAGAGGAGTTTAAGAGCAGTTTTAAACACGTTTGTGTTGTGTGTAAGGGAACTAACATCTGAAAGGAATGGCCACTGTTGCTTACTATAATATAATACCTTTTTCCAATAAGAACTATCCTCAAATGTGCTAATTATAATCAATCAAGATTTCATGCTTTTATTTTTGCTGTTCGTAAATGTTGGTTTAATAGCTAAATATGACATGGATCATCTCTGCTCTTTTTAAGATGAATGAATATGTATGAATGTTCCTTGTTTGAATAATATTATTTTTTGATGGTTATGACCATCATGTAGAAACTGGACAGATTGACCCCATCTTAATCGAGCGCTACAACACGCCGGGCTTTGTGGGCTGTCTGTCTCGCGTCCAGCTGAACGGCGTGGCCCCGCTGAAAGCAGCCCTGCGCTTGGGACCCGCAGCACCCGTCATCACCCATGGGATTCTAGTCCCCTCCAACTGTGGAGCATCACCCCTCACCATCTTCCCCATGGCCTCAGCTAGTGACCCCTGGCACGTCGAAGCAGGTAGAGACACAGACAGATGATGCATGTTAACCTCAGAAGCAGCCACAGTCAGATTCTAACAGATGTTCCTCCACAGCTGGAGCGGTGTTCCCCTTCAAAGAGAACAAGGCCAAGGAAGGAGTGGACCGCAACTCTGCCATCGTGGGAGGTAAATCTCATTCAACTCCTACAAACTGTGAGAGCTGCAGCTGTCTCCCCCAAACACAATGTCTTTTTCTATCAACATTACACAATTTAAGATTGATCACATCTAATCTTGTCAGGAAGGAGCACAAATATAAAAGCATAAAAAGCAATAAGTAAAGAAAGAAAATACCTAGAGCAAATGAAGTGGACAATGCACAGGATACATATCCAAGTCAATCAATTAATCAAAGTCATTTTATTTAGTCCATTATCACAAATGTTACATTTGTCTCAGTGGACTTTACAGTTTGTACAGAATATGAATATGACACCCTGTGTCCTTGGACCCTCACATCAGACAAGGAAACACTCCCAGAGAAACCCCCCCTGTTAATGGGGACAATGGAAGAATCCTCGAGGAGAGCAACAGAGGAGGATCCCTCTCAGGACGGACAGACGTGAAATAGATGTCGTGTGTAATTTAAAAAGATATTGATGATTTACAACATAGGTAGTCCAAATGCTTGGAAATGCATGTGTCTATAAATAAGAAGATGATGGATCCAGGAGGATGTCAACAATCCTGTGGGAGCCATCAGAGAAGTAGTATGATGAGAATCAGGCAGGACTACAGTGACAGGTTCAGCCAGGACTCAGGATCTAGGACTCAGGATCCAGGACTCAGGACCACAGTGACAGGTTCAGCCACGACTCAGGATGCAGGACTCAGGATCCAAGACTCAGGATCCAGGACTCAGGACCACAGTGACGGGTTCAGCCACGACTCAGGATCCAGGGCTCGCGATCCAGGACTCAGGACCACAGCAACAGGATCAGCCACGACTCAGGATCCCGGCGTATATAGACACCAAAAAGAAATTTGGGGAAGCTGGGTTATTGGGAACATGAGAGTACACAGGTACAGACAGAGAGAAGGAAGAAGTAAGGTGTCCCCCGACAGTCTAAGCCTATAGCAGCAAAACTAGGGGCTGAATCTAATCAGCCCTAACTATAAGCTTTATCAAAAAGGAAGGTCTTAAGCGCACTCTTAAAAACGGATAGGGTGTCTGCCGCCCGAACACAAACTGGAGGCTGATTCCACAAAAGTGGAGCTTGATAAGAAAAGGCTCTGGCTCCCATTGTACTTTTAGAGACTCTAGGAACAACCAACAACCCTGCATTCTTGGAACGCAATGCCCTAGTAGGACAGTAGGGTATAATGAGTTCTTTAAGGTAAGATGTCGCCTGCCCATTAAGGGCTTTGTAGGCGAGAAGAAGAATTTTAAATTCTATCCTGTGTTCTATAGGGAGCCAGTGTAAGGCAGCCAGAACAGGAGTAATGTGGTCCCTTTTCCTAACTCTGGTTAGTACACGTGCTGCAGCATTTTGAATCAGCTGAAGCGACTTAACTGACTTCTTGGTACACCCTGATAATAAAGAGTTACAATAATCCAGCCTTGAAGTAACAAATGCATGGACTAGTTTCTCTGCATCGTTTTGAGGCAAGATATGCCTGATTTTTGCAATGTTACGTAGATGAAAGAAGGCGGTCCTTGAGATTAGTTTTATGTGGGCGTTAAAGGATAAATCCTGATCAAATATAACACCAAGATTCCTTACAGTCTCACTGGAGGCCAAATTAATGCCATCCATAGTTAGTATATCTTTAGATAGTTTGTTTCCTAGATTCTTGGTGGTCAAGTACAATAACAGTTTTTGCTTTATTTTGCAGGTTTCGGCATCATGCCAAGGAGCTAGTCTATGTTGTTTTACTTTCTTCTTTTTCAAAGGAGCAACAGAGTGCAGCGCACCTGTAGCTCTATCAACTACATGATCACATTTGGATGGTGAAAATGTTGTATAAGATTCCTCCTTTACATACAGACATGCTATCGAGTTAAGTGTTGATGGAATCTCTTCCTTAAATTTGGCTATAGCACTAACAGATATATTTTGTACTGCAGGAACTTTTGACTAATGGTTTGTAGTCTAGTAAGAAAAATTCAAAAGTTACTAAGAAATGGTCGGATAAAGCAGGATTATGCAGTTCGACTAATAGTTGCTCAATTTCAATACCATAAATCAGAACAAGGTCGAGAGTGTGATTATAATAATAATAATACATTACATTTATATAGCGCTTTTCCTGGTGCTCAAAACGCGTATAACAGTGGGTTGGTTTATTTACACTCTGACGGAAACCAACATAATCTAATATAGAGTTAAATGCAACAGTAAGGCTATTTTTATCGTCGTCCACATGAATATTAAAGTCACCTACGAGAATGACTTTATCTGTTTTAAGTACCAAAGTTGATACAAACTCAAAGACTTCTGATAATAATTCTGAATAAGGACCTGGGGCACGGTACACTGTAACAAATAAGATTTATTGCAATGTTTTCCAGGTCAGAAAAACAAGGCTTTCAAAGGAGGTATCATTTCATTTTGGTTTAGTATTGATAAGTAAACTTGAGTCAAAGATGGCTGCATCTCCACCTCCTCGGCCTGTGAAATGGTTATGTAAATGTGTGTGTCAGAACAAGCTTTGGTAACTTATTTTATGATTTTTGTATTTTATTTGTTATTATCTGAGCCAGTGGTAGCATGTAGATGTTAAAGAAAGAGGCCCCAAGATTGAGCCTTGAGGAACCCCACATGTCATATGTGTCAGTTGTTAGTACATGTTAGTAATAGTGCCCCTTTCTGTTTTGACTCTAGGCATCATCTCCATCGTGATCTTCACTGTGCTCTGCATCATGGTGTTTGTGATCCGTCACATGTTCCGCCACAAAGGTTCCTACCACACCAACGAGGCCAAGGGGGCGGAGTCAGCAGACTGTGCTGACGCAGCGATCATCGTCAACGACCCGGCCTTCACTGAAACCATCGACGAGAGCAAGAAGGAGTGGTTCATCTGAGCCGCCCTCACCATGGACATATGACATTAGGATGTATGTAGTTTTTGAAGCATAGGTAGTAGTAGTGAGAGCCCCACCTGTGGACCCTCCAGGATGTGCCGAGTGGTTTATTTAAAGAATGATGGACAATGGACACCATGGCATCACAGCATGGGTATTAAAGCACAGGGCTGCCTGCTAAGTGTGACAGGACCACAGCCTCAGGTGGTGAAGATGAGAGGGACTGTGCTCATTAGCTTTTATTTGAGTGTTTATTTGTATCACTGTTTATTTCATTTTGTTAAATAATTTCTCTTATTTCATTTTTCTTTATACAAGTAATATATTTTTTCATAATTAGTTTTACTTTGTTTAAGTGTATTTATTTGTTCAAGATTAAGATCTTCTATGCCTTGCACAACGTGCGGATATATAAGAAAATAATGACATTTATTGTAATGATCATTCATCCCAATCTCATTGTCTTAATCTTTTAATTTTACATTTATTTCAGTTAAGGGAATTTCTGACTGAAGCGTGTGTGTGTGTGTGTGTGTGGGGGGGGGGGGGTCCGCACTTGCCAGCCTGTCTGTACAGGAGATGTAGCCATGACTTTGGACTAAGAACGTAAAGGAAATGTCACACTTCTATTTATTTAGCTTTTTATTGATTCTCTTATGATTGCATATGTTATTTTACTGTTACTGCTGCCAAATTAGTTGAGGGGTTGACCTTGAACTGAGTCCTGTCCACTGAGCTCCACTCATGGTTTTTACTTTGTATTAGCAACACCAGTACGTGATAATGCTAAAAAGCTTTAGACCATGTGCTGTAAGACTTTTATTTAAGGAACTTAACAGCTTTTGAGGAATCTTCTGGAGTGGTATCTGACTAAGAGTTGAACTCAGTGCATCCTGTGCAGAGACAGGTGAGGAGGGATTTAGTGTAAAGACATGAAGCAGGAGGAATCACTTGACTCATTCTATGCTGTTACCGATCAGACAGAGGTGGAACCTGACACCATGGGGACAGGACCTTTGTGTTTCAAACACTGATGGCACCCACAACCATATTTTCTTTTGTTTCTGTTTCTACACATGATGAAATGTGCAAATCACAGGTCTGTAGTGAGGGACACTCAGGTTCATATCCAAGTCGGAATGGTTTTAAGATTAATTCAAGACCGAGTCCACAACGGGGCCAGAATCACAAATCCATAATTCGTCCCATAGCGAGGATGTTTCATTGTTGCAGCTTAGGGACAGTGTAGTTAAAAGGCATATTACAGGTGTACATATATTAACATGGAACAATTTTCGAAAACAAATTATTAGATAAAAGCTAAATATGAAAATCTTGGTTTAAGGTGAAGCCACCATGGAAGGTAATCAGTTTCTGCACTTGTTAATGGTGCAGACCCTTGTTTGCAATTTCAATAAAGCCCCTAGGAAGCACCCAGCCATGCTGTATGCAAGGAAATTAAGATAAAAAGCTAATCAAGGTAAGACCACAGATTGAGATCCAGATCAAAACACTTGATTGTGATGAGTCTGAAATAAAAACACTGTAGGTCTGGTTGGAAGGTGTGTGATTTGTGTCCCCTGCTCTGTGTGCTTTGCTGGGCTCAACACTTCCGCACCTCTCAGGCTGTGAGAGATGAAACTGACAACGGTACAACAGGGCCAGTAACGGAAAGTCGTTTGCATTTTCAACTTAGTATTTTGGAAGAATTTAGCAGTGTTATTGATATTGATTTCTTTAGGCTTAGTTAATTAGTGGTCATAGTATGTGTGTCTGAGGGTGTTTAGCAACACAAACTCTTCAGGTGGCCTGAAAGGACTCTTAAGTTCACAGTTCTTCTCAAATCTGTCCTTTAAAGGCGATGTCTTTGTTCTTTGAGAAGTAGGGAGGTTCTATGGAAAATAATGTATGTTGCCCACATACAAAACTGGCATACATCCTGACAATTGATTGTATTGCATTTGTATTCCTTTAACTGCACTGCAGTGTAATGGCATGCTGTTTGGCACTGAATGACACATATTTCTGTTTGATAAGCCGCTGTGGCATGTCATTGCTTTTGCCTCATGTTATATGTAAATCACTTTGCTAAACTGTACTTCTTTCATAGCTGATTTCTCATTATTTGTGCTTTTCTCATTGTCTTGAAAAATGTGATGCTTCCTATTGGGAAAACCAGTAAAATATGAGTCAAAATCACACTGGCTGTTGTTAGTGTTTTTGGCCAAACACATCTGGATCCAGGTGTTCAGCTTCTGGAAGATGCCGAACCCCTACCTTTCGACTGAAAGTCCTACTGTATACTTCAGGAAATAAAACATTATCAGTATGGAGATGTTGGTGCTGGGAGTAAAGGTCCTCCATGGATGGCAGCTCCGTCCTGGTGATGTGCTGTGCAGTTTTCACCACCCTCTGTAAAGCCTTACGGTTGAGGGTGGTGCAGCTGCCGTACCAGGCCGTGATGCAGCCGGTCAGGATACTCTCTATCAGAGGTGGGACCAAGTAATTGTTTTGCAAGTCACAAGTAAGTCTCAAGTCTTTGGACTCAAGTCACAAGTAAGTCTCAAGTCTTTGGACTCAAGTCACAAGTAAGTCTCAAGTCTTTGGACTCAAGTCACAAGTAAGTCTCAAGTCTTTGGACTCAAGTCACAAGTAAGTCTCAAGTCTTTGGACTCAAGTCACAAGTAAGTCTCAAGTCTTTGGACTTAAATCACAAGTAAGTCTCAAGTCTTTGCACTCAAGTCACAAGTAAGTCTCAAGTCTTTGGACTTAAATCACAAGTAACTCTCAAGTCTTTGGACTCAAGTCACAAGTAACTCTCAAGTCTTTGGACTCAAGTCACAAGTAACTCAAGTCTTTGGACTCAAGTCACAAGTAACTCAAGTCTTTGGACTCAAGTCACAAGTAACTCAAGTCTTTGGACTCAAGTCACAAGTAAGTCTCAAGTCTTTGGACTTAAATCACAAGTAAGTCTCAAGTCTTTGCACTCAAGTCACAAGTAAGTCTCAAGTCTTTGGACTTAAATCACAAGTAACTCTCAAGTCTTTGGACTCAAGTCACAAGTAAGTCTCAAGTCTTTGGACTCAAGTCACAAGTAACTCAAGTCTTTGGACTCAAGTCACAAGTAACTCAAGTCTTTGGACTCAAGTCACAAGTAAGTCTCAAGTCTTTGGACTCAAGTCACAAGTAAGTCTCAAGTCTTTGGACTCAAGTCACAAGTAAGTCTCAAGTCTTTGGACTCAAGTCACAAGTAAGTCTCAAGTCTTTGGACTCAAGTCACAAGTAAGTCTCAAGTCTTTGGACTCAAGTCACAAGTAAGTCTCAAGTCACAAGTAAGTCTCAAGTCTTTGGACTTAAATCCCAAGTAAGTCTCAAGTCTTTGCACTAAAGTCCCGAGTCAAGTCCCAAGTCACGATGGGCAAGTCCAGTCAAGTCCAAGCCCTAAACTTTGAAAACCAACAAGTCATTATGTCATTTCACCAAAACAGAATATAATATATAAAATGTACACAAATCATGAATCATGTATTTATTTCTCAAACAAGTTGCTCCTGAACGCAAACATTAAAGAGTACCATAACAATAATAACTAAATCAATAAATGCATAGCTGTTCCTCATCATATTGCAGATCAAACTGCTCTTTATTACTCATATTAATTTACTAATCAATTTTCTCTAATCAAACTACACTTGCTGTCTTTGGAGCGTCTGCCCCCCACCCTTCTTTCACATAATGGTATGATCCTAGTGTGTCCTCGCATATGATTGGCCGCATGGTGGCCCAGCAAAATAAAGTCCCGCCCCTCCCTGAAAGGATTCTCAGCAAGAGTAGGGTTGCGGTCGAATAGTCCATTTAGCTTAGGAACCTTCCTAACGGAGTGAAATGACCCGGAAGTCCCTCAGTGGCAGCCATGATATGTGCCGTTCGAATTCTCTAAATGAAAGGAAAGGAGGTTTCAAACTTCCTTTATAACCTCCTTTAGCTTAGGAACCACTGGACCTCCCTAACCGAAAGGAGAGGAGAAAATGCTGCCCCACAATGCCTTGCGGCCGCCGCATTTGCCGTCCGTCACACAACAGTCGGCCGTTCACGGAATCAACCGATTATGACCGAGAAATGATATCAAGAAAGTTATGGTGCTTATTAAGCTTTTTAAAACGTATGTGGTAACTTGCCAAAGTGCTTTGTTTTGAACGTTCATCAGTATTATAATCAAAAAGAGAAATATGAACGTTAGTTTTTACTGAAATGATCAAATAAAGTCAACATTTCACAGTCTTTACTGAGCTGTGTGGGGTTTGTTCAACTTTTAAAAGATGTTTGAATGGTGATATACACAGTGATAGATGTTAAAGACTAACGTTTATAATAAATACATTTGTATTGATTTTAAGATCTTTTCATACAATCATACGTATTGGGGTCATTTGTATTAATGTGGACCGGAGGGAGAGGGTGACGAGCATAAGTTTCACTTTCCTTTTTTATTTCAATTCCAACTTTGGTCATGAAGAATATGTTTCTCTGTTGTCCCCGTTCATAAAGCATAAAACAACAGCATCAGAGCACGGTGCAGAGTCTCTAGATGAGTTTACAGTAGTCCCTCGTTCTTATTAAACATCCATGTTGTAGTCCGCTGTATAGAAAACTGCAGTTTCCATAGTTTCCCCACAGCAGCAGACGCACATTTATGACCTCCGCTGGCGCATCATAAACACGTCGGATAGTGAAAGTGCAGTCGGATTCTCTAAAGCAGGGGTGTCAAACTCAATTTCATCACGGGCCACATCAGCATTATGGTTGCACTCAAAGGGCCGGTTGTAACTTTAATATAATATAACTTTAACTATATCATTAATTAATATAACTTCATAATTAACTACGTCTGAAAGCAGAAGTCTAGAGCAAATAATTGCAAGTTTCTTCAGTAAGAATGTCACAATATGATTTTAAAAGAAAAGCCACATTCTGGAAAAACATTGATTGTGACATTTTGAAAAAGAGAAGTGACATTTTGAAAAAAAAATCTATTTATGAGAAAAAGGCTAATTCTAAGAAAAAAGGCATATTTGGAAAAAAAAAGTCAAATTCTGAGAAAAAGTCAAATTTGAGATGCATTGTGGGACATGTCGTTTATGGGCAACGTGCTTCTGTAAAGTAGCATGTAACCGTATAATAAACATATTATATTCTTTGCAAGCTCTTGTGGGGCCACATAAAATGAAGTCGCGGGCCGGATTTGGCCCCCGGGCCTTGAGTTTGACACCCCTGCTCTAAAGTACCGCAGTCTCTTCTCCTAAATCCTTTTGAATTCTCCTATCCACTATCCCTTAACCCCATGACGTTTCACTCAGAGGTTAAGGAATAGACGATAGGAGCTGATTTTTTGACTATTCGACCGCAACCTAGGGCTGCGTTTCACTTCAGTTAAATGGATTCCTTGCGTCCCTCACTTGCGTCGTTTCCCTGCGTTTAGTCCCTCCCACCAGGGAAGCATGGAGAGACGCAAGGAAACCACGAGAAGCAGGGAAATGAGTTTTAAGAGCAATGGGACGTTGTTTCCTCCAGAGCGTCACGTGAAGCGACGTCCGTTTGTGATGACGCCGCACAGCTGTTCGTCTGACAGCAACTCTGTCCCCGTTGTTTTCACAAACACCCGCGCCTCTGTTAGTACACATTTACACAAACATTTGTATCATCTGTTGTAGACCCAAATAAATAAAATCAAATAAGAACTCATTCTCAAAAAAGATAAACGCCATTCTTAAAATGTATAAACGAACATTAGTTTGATTAATATTGATTAGAGTGCACAATATAAATAAAATAATTGAGAGAAGAAAAGAGATATGTTATCTATCAAAACCCAGTTAGATTAACATTCATTGGATTGCACACTTAGTTTGTTTGTGTGGATATGTAGCAAATTAACATGTTAAATAGCACTTAATGACTGACTGAATAGAATGGAAATGACAATAAATGAAAATGTAAAACGAAAAAAGCGATCATGAAAATGTTTCCAAAAAATGAATAAAATGATTTTTGACCACTTTGTTGTTCAGATATATCACATATTTGTAACTGAATGATGCATTCATTGAAACAAAACACAGTATGAACTGAGGAGTGAGTCCCGTGAGTTTCATGTGTTTTCTTCACTCCGCTGGGAAACTGCTCTCATGTCAAGAAGCATCAGATCATTGCATGCGCTGCATCGTCCAATCAGTGAGCGATACACAGTAAGGGGGCGGGGCGAGTATCTGAGGATTTCACCGGAGGATGGTCTGGTGGTTCCTCGATTATAGCTCCTCCATTATCGCTCCTCGCTCCTCCGGCAAAAATAAGGCCATTGGGACGCTACTCAAGATGTCGCAGACAAATCAACTTCCGGTGAGACCGAGACCGAGGAGCGAGGAAATGAAAAATAAGAGAAGTGAAACGCAGCCTAGGAGAGGCTGAAGATTAGGCTCTCCCTGATGGGAGTCTGCTCTTCTACCGGTAGCTCGCGATCGACGTGTTGGAGACCCCTGAATTAAAGTATCAAGTCACCTCAAGTCAGAAGGCTCAAGTCCAAGTCAAGTCCAGAGTCATTGGTGTTCACGTCCAAGTCGAGTCGCAAGTGTTTTGAGATTTTGTCAGGTCCTCAGTGATGAGTCAGGTCCTCAGTGATGAGTCCATGTCAGGTCCTCAGTGATGAGTCCATGTCAGGTCCTCAGTGATGAGTCAGGTCCTCAGTGATGAGTCCATGTCAGGTCCTCAGTGATGAGTCCATGTCAGGTCCTCAGTGATGAGTCAGGTCCTCAGTGATGAGTCCATGTCAGGTCCTCAGTGATGAGTCCATGTCAGGTCCTCAGTGATGAGTCCATGTCAGGTCCTCAGTGATGAGTCCTTGTCAGGTCCTCAGTGATGAGTCCATGTCAGGTCCTCAGTGATGAGTCCATGTCAGGTCCTCAGTGATGAGTCCTTGTCAGGTCCTCAGTGATGTGGACCCCAAGGAACCTGAAGCTGCTGACTCTCTCCACCGTAGTCCCATTGATGGCGATGGGAGCGTGTCCCTCTCCCTGCTGCTTCCTGTAATCCACAATCAGCTCCTTGGTTTTGCTGACGTTGAGATGGAGGTTGTTATCCTGGCACCAAGATGTCAGGTTTTCGACCTCCTCTCTGTACGCCGTCTCGTCACCATCGGTGATCTG